ATAAGTACAAAAGAAGAGTATCCAAGCGAGTCTCTAGTTAGTGAGATTCTTGCTGAACAAAAACAAAACATTGTGGTCGACAATGAGCCGAAATCGTTTAAAATTAAAACGAAACTTACATTCAAAGGTAATATGAAATTTCAATTGATCAGTACTGTAGTTTCCAACTAGTCAAATTCAATACTTTTATCCAAACGTCAAAAACGATACTTTTCTATGAAATGTGTATGAAAAATTGAGTTATGACGTCATAACATTTTTGCGTCAAATACCTTACTTATTTCCTAATAAATAGCTAAAAAATAAAACTTACACCCGGTTTCCGAAAGGCCGATCAATGTTAAAATCAATTTATTCTCTTGTCAAGTCATCTGATTGGTTGACTGAATTATCAACAGCCAATCAGATGACTTGACAAGAGATTTAACAGGAGATTAGTTAATTTTAGCGTTGACAAGCCTTTCAGAAACCGGGTGTATATGTATCGATCGATCGATGAATAAAAGTATAGTTATATTTTAATATTTTATTGTATTGAAACGTCGAATTAATTTATTTTTGACCTAGGAAACTACACAATTGTTATGAGGGGTCATCCGTAAAGTACAGGTACACGTGGAGGGGTCGAAAAAGTGTGACATGGTGTGACAAGGAGTGGGAGGGAGGTCTTTACTTTCGTGACATCACATTCAAAATGTAATATATCTAAAGATACCAATGGCGTAATTTGAAACATTAATAAAACTAAAAAACCTATTTTTTATCTTTAGGACAACACGGTTTTAATTGTTTTGTTGACAAGTTCCGCTCTAGTGACATGTAGTGTTCGATGTGAAACTACAAAACGTGTGATGCCACACTAGGGTTTCAAACATGACCACCTGTTACAAGGAGGGAGGGGGCGAGGCTCAAAAATCATAAATTTCATGTGTCGTACTTTATGGATGATCCCTAATTGCTACACGCTCAGAAAACGCTTACTATGAACATAATGTTTTACGCCTGCTATCTTTGAGGCCATGGATATTATTCCAGTCGAGCCGGCTCATTCGTCCCAATTAAATGAGCGACTTGCAACAGGCCCTTAAAGTCCCAAAAAAAAATCCATCAAATATTTTGTTTGTTTCAGACATCCCTGAAAAGATCGTTCTAGGAAAAACGGCCAACGGAAAGCGATTGGTAGCTAAAGTATTAAAGCCACAATCAAATAAGATTGAAAGGCCTAAAGACAATCAAGTTTTAAAACAAGTAGAGGAAAATCCACACTATAGTTAGTATCATAAGACTCATTTTATATTGTGTGTGTAATATATAGCCACACTACACTATTAACTAATATTTTAATTGTACGAGTATCTAGACTGAAATCTGTTTCTCATTTAATGTTATCTGGGAAAAATTGTTGCTGTCACTGTCTTAAACAAACATTCTGACGCGACAGCATCATAATTATTTCCCAGGTATCTTTTATCTAACCATTAAAAAATCAACCCTTATTTATTATATATACTTATGCTTTATTAAAATGCTACAAATACAGATTGTACAATTGGGGACGGTGAAATCTATATGTATATTTTCCTTCAGACATCCCTGAAAGACCGGTTACTACCGGTTTACATGAAATGGATTTCGTGAATCTCATTCAGACGACATTACGGGCTGGTATACAGCCGAGTTGTACTGAGGAAGACATTGCGTCAGCCGAGGGTGTGATCACACAGTTACTCAAAATGCCCAACTTGAAGCATTTTCTAGTTGGATACGACTTGATTGTGACTAAGGTATGTATTATAGAATATCAATCTGGTATACAATTTTAGCTTTCATTGAAATCAACCAAAAATACGAAATTATATTGAACAGTTATGTAATTGTTTTGCACGGTTGGCTCAGTCCCTTGGTTATTGACTGCTATGGAACGAATCGAGGATTTCAATCCCACATAGAACAATATTATTTGTGTGCTTCACAAATTATAATTTGGCCAGTGTCGGCCAAACATCACTGAAGCCCGGGACCAAGATAAATGGACATAATGTCACTCAGACTGGCATTTCTATATTTGTTCGTCTGTCATGTGCTCCTCGTATTTTTCGAAAAGTTGTGAATTAAATGTAAAATTGTATTTTGAATATTTAACAGGCGAAGAACAATAAGAACGAATTTGGCTTGATTTACAATAGAAGCCCAGTTTCGTTCATAACAGGGCGTGTGGCAGATAAGGATGGTTCCTGTGGCTTCGAACACGTTCCTAATTTACTGCAGACTATTAAACAAAAAGCAGGTAATTCTTATTCTCTCTCCCTCTCAGAGAGAGAAAGAGAGTGGGGTGGCACTCTCTTTCTCTGTCTATCTCTCTACCTCTCTTTATCTCTATATCGAGGTCTAAAATGGTCACTTCTTATCTATAACTCTAATCTCTCTCTTCGATGGGTCGGCGCAGCATTGTGACACCACCAGAGACACTTCAAATATAATGCATGTGTTATCTTGTTTCTATGAACATTCTTTGATTACTAACGGTAAAGACGTCGTGACGAAACCTGAACTCGTAATTTCTAATCATTATTTTAAAATGGTTAATTCGCCTTCAGCGATGCTCAACCTTTTCCTCTTTCCCCTTCATTTCCTTTGCTCAGCAGTGGGCAAGTGGTAGGCTGATGATATTATGAAAATTATTTTATGATATTGCAGAAGAACAAAACGTTTCACAAAGCGATGAGGTATACAGCTGCATCGAAGAAAAAGAAGCCAAAGAGAACTTCACTATCTACCACATCCACATTACTGAAACGAAGTGCTCCGACAATATAGTTAGGGTCTCCGTCACTCTCAATAAACGACGTAAGTTACAATAAAAATATACTTAACGACTTAGACACAAAGTCTATTTTTACATAATAACAAAATGACGCATATTATTTTTTAGCTTTGTCATGTAATAATAATTATATTTTTCCCCAGTTTCTGTGTCAGTTTTACTTTAAGCTTTGTTAAAGAGATAATAAAGGGCAATTTAGTTTAAATTTTTAATGCTTGTTCACAGAGCTCCCTGTGAATTTGGTGTTTGATCTCAAAAAACGTTACCCCACCACTGTCTTTGGGTGCAGTTCTTGTGCAGCTTTGTTCAAAACTGAGCAGACTTTGAAAGATCACCAAGAGGTAATATTAGTATAATATCACCAAAAACCTTGGGTTCAGCCAAGTGTTACGTTTACTGTGTGCACCTACTCCTACGCCCTTACTCCGTGCGTAAAGGGGGTAGGGGTAGGCTCTTCGGGCAAAAGGCGTGACTTGTTAACTAATTTCTCCGAAACTTTTAATTCCAGAATCACTGTATAGATACAGATGACATGTTGACCATCGATACTGCTAACAGTACCAATTCAGAAAACGACGATGACGTCATCATTGTCAAAACTGGCAAAGAGACTGTATTCTCCTGCGGACAGTGTAATGTAAGTAAAATGATTTTAAAACTATAGTCAGAATTTTAATTCGATTCCTGATTTGACATGACCTACTGTGATTTTGTGAAATAATGATACCACATATAACAGTGTAGTGATGAACACAAAAATCGATAAACAATCAGTGAATCAGTTTCAGGAAGGCATTCAAAAAATTACGGCTACCGAATGGTCTAAATGCGAATCCCATGTTGTCAAAGAAGAGGAAAAAATGAGTAAGCTAGATATATTAATTGAGAATAAAAATCACAGACACAATTCATAATAAACGTTACAGAAAGTAACAGCGATAGCGATAGCGATGACGGCGACAATTTATAAAATTTCTGTTTTATTTGTCATGTTCCTTCATGATCACATTTTTTATTAATTGCACACACAATATTACAAAAGAAAAGTCTCAGATCGTTAATTAATTGTCAAAACTAAATTATCGGTTCAGAAATATTTGATTTCCTGATAAACTTAGTTTACGAGAGTAAATTTATAAACGAGAGGAATCGATTCAGAAATATTCGATTTCCACATCGAATAATTTCGCAACGTCACTATTTATTACGTGTCATAACATTGCAACACTGAAATTGTCAAATCTGGAATGGAATTAAAATTCCGAGTATATATCAAGTTTTTCATAAATACAACAAATCATTTTTTAAATAAGTAACCTATGAACTTATGTGACTTCTTCATAATTCTTCTTCTATTCTTAATTCAAATTTATCTAATGACAAGAGACCGCCCCTGCTATGCACGTGTTCCAACTACCTCGCTAACGAGGAAAGTGTTGCTATTTCCTCAATTTCCCTTCTTTTCTTTCACTAAGGCTGTCTCCTGATAATAGTCAACACATCAAAAAACAAGCGTAATCGGTTAATTTTCGAGATTTGTGTCTACCAATACATTTAGCATATTCATTATTATATTAGGTACAGATAGTGGCTGTTCAGACATTGTAAAACATGTTCTAAGCAAGTTACAATTTTGACTGAGTGGATCGATTCCCGCACGTAATAACCCTTTGTGTGATCCACAAATTGTTGTTCTGGTCTGGGTATGATGTGTATGTAAATGCATCCACGACGTCGGAAAAAAACATAGAGTGGTGCAACTTCTTTTTTAATGTCTTGAATTAATTGATTGATACAATAATGATTTTCATCCTGGCCGGTTGCATTCATATCTACTATTTGAAAGTCTTAAGCTCTTTGAGAGTGCAGTCTGTAATAGCCATAGTAATCTAAGTGTCAATAACTGAATAACTTAAGGCTGCTTCTTTTCTTTACAGGTAACATTCACAAAACTAAGCAACATACAAAGGCATATGAAATCACATTTAGGTACAAAACAACAGATTCTACAAACAACCAGAGTTTTAAAACAAGATCTAGACCCAAAACAAAAACCTACTAAAATCTTCAAGTGTAAAATGTGTCCTAGTACTTACTTCCATTCGGCTTCCCTTTCCAAACACATAGTTACAAGGCATATTAAAGTGAAATCAAATAAAAATGGTAACTAGAAGAAAATTGTTTTATTATATTATACCCTAAAATTATCAATACAGTAATATTTATTGTTACATGTACTATTTGAGGCTACACACAATAGCACCACAATTATTAGATAAATCATAAGTAAAAAATCAAACAATCAAGACATTTAATACTTTGAATAACCTACCTATTGATATAGCAAATAAGGTTTACTTTTGAGCTAGACAATGAATGCAACACCACTAAAATACATCATCAGAAAATATAGTATCCAGTTCTTCTAACAAATCACTTGTATTACTATCAAAACCATTTGTAACTGTTTCATTTGTACCTGGAACAATATTATGAATTAAAATATGATTTTATTGCCACAACATTCAATTTCAGACCATAACATACTTGATCTAAGATTGAGTTTCCATTGCTCACCTATGTTTTTCAAATTCTTTTCAGTTTTTATCACAGTATAATCTTCTTCATAAACAATTGTGTAACCATCAGGTAAGGGCTTAGCTTCTGCATCATCAGCCAGTACTGTTGAGCTATAGACAGCTAATATATTACTTAATGTTATATTGAGGTAATGTTTCTTGAAAGCACTCCCTGTTGTAAGTATTGTAGGCTTCCATAATATAAATGCACAATATTCAGAAGCTATGTACTTTGAAAAAGATGACCATGCATCTCTATGAAGTGTACCTTTTATATTTCCTGAAAAAAAAAAAAATTATATGAAAAGTATTGTAGCAAAGTACTTTGAAGTTAGTTGCTAAATTCCTTCTCGCAATCACATTCCATTCCAACAATATAATAGTAAAATATGTACCTGTGGTATCTCTCATGATGATTAGTGGGTCTGTAGCAGATCTATCCACAGTTTCAACAAAGGCAGTAATAGTATGGGCCTTCCTTCTCCTCAGGTTTCCTGACATAGCTTGCTGCTTTACTGTTTTTATTGAATCTACATCATGTAAATTCCAACTTTTTAAATCATCTAACAACCTTACCCACAATGGAGACTCAAATAAATCACCTCTCAAGCTGTTTTGAGTGAAATCAACATCCTAAAATAAAATAAAATTATATTAATATTTAATTATGTCAATATGTTTACAAACTGATTTTACTGATGAAAATATTTAACTCTTGTTTACCTGGGAAAGTAATTCAATTTGACAAATATTCTCATTTTCTTCAAATCCTCCTGTTAGAAGTCCAGCTGGCCCAGGGAACTTTCTTTTACTTTTATGATCAAAATATGAATTTATCATTTTTCGCTTTGTATGCTTTGGCGATACTACACTATTTGCATTCTTCACATTTTCTTTGCTGTTGTTAACAATGTTTTCATTGTTCCTTACTAGCAATTCAATACTTTTAGGAATATTCTCATTTAACTTCAAAACTTGCGCCCCATTCGTTTGTAAGTTGTGCACAGCATCGTTTTTTACGTCAACGTTCGTGTTTTTTGAGCCACATTTACTTTCTACATTATTCGTATTCACTGCTAAGACGTCTTCGGGAAATTCAAATTGAGATAAGACCTAAGGCAAAAATATATATTTAAAAAAGTTCTCTTGATTTATAATAAACAAACACTAGAAGGGACGTTGATGTTTTTTAAAATAGATACTTACCTGGTCGTAATCGTCTGATTCAAACATAATAAACGTACTATCTAGAAACCAAAATAAAATATTATCACCTATAGAAATAATATAGAACTGTAGTCTGAATATTCAGAAAAAGAAATAGAGAAGTAATATTTAAAACTTTCAAAAACCTTCTAAGTATTCACAATAATAAAATGTCAAGTCAAAGTGACAGTGACACATGCGGAACCCATTTTTTTTCTTTGAGTTTATGGCTTGGATACAAGTCTTTTAAGCCAAATGCAGAACTCAGCTGTGTGTCCAGTGCTGCCGAGTATAAATAATATATAAAAAGCTGTAAAAATCAGGCCTGTGTCCAAGGAGAAAAAGATAGCGTTCTGTGTTAGAATGCAAGCGTCCGAGAAAGAATTCAGAATTCGACCTCTAAGAGGTCAAAATTTAGTTCGAATGAAAGAAACTATACCCTTTCTATAAACAGAATAATAATTAAACAGAATAATAATTTTTGGATGATTTGATTCTTGATTGAATATTTTTAACCAGGAAATAGATTTGAGTGAAACGGTGCAAACATGTATTGAAACTCCGGGAAAGGATATAAAATAGCTCCTCTTATCCCACATAAACAGGAACGAGAATGGTAAAATCCCGGTGTTGTCTGCATACGGAACAGATTTTGTGTTTGAAATGAAAATGATAGATTTTAGTCCTAGAAATCTTCCAGTAATAGAAATTATACCAGTGTTATCCTGTAAATGCGAATTTTTTTAACCAAAGAGCTGCAGCACTTGAGTGAAGTTATTTTACAACTCTGGGAGGGGATATAAAATCAACATCATCATCAGCCTATAAGTGCCCACTGCTGAGCAAAGGCCTCTTCGCATACGAAGAAGGTTATAAAATATAAAATATATAAATATTATTCCTATTAGAAATAAGTCAATGGGGACTACGTGAGTAACTTTTACTGAGGACTGCCACGAAATGGAAGCAAAATTTGAAATAAAGGACAGTATTTATCCCTAAGAGAAATAAACAAACGGGTTAGAAACTATGTACCAAACGGTGTATCCATTATCGTTATTACACGTTTTAAGTAATTTTAAACACGACGATAATTTTGCATCTGTTTCGAAAAGTCCTTAATATAATTTTTATCTTGGTGAACTACACGGGTTAAACCTCGGTTTTTCATTTGAGAAAACCACTTGGATCGCTGAATGTTTTTCATTCAGCAGCTTACAGAGTTTTAAGAGTATTACCTATATAGTCTAAAATTACAAAAAAACAACGGGGTGAGCTAAATAAAACCGTTTAAAATTGTATCCGAAGTCGATATCCACGAAGACGCTGAAAAATAGTTTGTAATAGACATGGCTGGATTTTTAAATTGTTTATTTTTGACAATACGATGTCATTGTTATTTTATTTATTTTACAGATAGCAGCTAATTTTACACAAGAGCTTTTTTATTTTTATGTAGTTTTTTCCCCGTCATTTACAAAAATGTCCGTTTTTGATACATTAAAACCACTTGCACAAGTTACTCCGCGTTTTACTGAAGAACAACTTGAAGAAATAGTGCAATGGTTTGATGGAAATGCAAAACCCTTATTAATAATAAACGATGCTCCTGAACCGACAAACGTTGTAACTATCGAACAATTGATATCATTTTTGGAATTGAAAAAGTATAGTATCTTAAACTCGCACTCTGTTGTGAATACAGAAATATTTATCTATTTTATTTACTTATTTATATGTAGATATTTAGGCAAATGATAGCGCATAAAAAAGGTAATCAGAAAAACTTATCAGTATTTTGTGTTTAGATTCCATAGAAGAAGTTTTAAGTATCCTACGTATTTCGAAATTATGAAAGAAGCCGAAAATTTAAATGCTGGAGTGACTAGAATGTTGACAAAGGATCAATTTATTTACATGTTAAACTTATGGGTCCAAGAAGCCGATATAAAACACGAGTTAGAAGTTGCATTTCGGGTGGGTAAGGTTTAATAAGTCAATAATTATATACTTAATTATACTTACTAAAACATTTATAATTATCTTTACTATAATAAGGTTTTCGACACGGAAAAGAGAAACTATCTGGAACTTGATGAAATCAAAGAAATAGTAACGGCTTATGGTGATGAACCATTTACGGAAGCTGAGACAGTGGAAATATTGCGCGATGCTAACGTTCGTGGAGATGGCCAAGTCTACTATTTGGACTTTATAGAAAGTTTATTCAATTTAGCTCCAGAATTGTATGAATTGAAGGTAGGTACCTAATATCTGATTTTTTAAATATTAATTTAAATTGGGTAAAAAGAGGGTGAATATTGTGACAGAAAACTCTTTGACATCATGACGTCAATGGATGGTTGTCAAACGTTGCCTAGAGATTGTAAATTTCGTCGTGAATTGTCAACACGAGTTGGTGTAATCGGTAAGGCGTGTGGATTACACCACAGAGACCCCGAGTTCGAGTCTCGCTGTAAACATGAAGTTTTTTAGTTGATAGAAGTTTTGTCGAACTTTCTGGAATATTTGAGTGAAAGTAATGAAAAATTAAGGAGCGAGAAGGAGAATAAATAAAAATGAATAACGAAATTATTGGAAGGTTCTGGAGGCATGACGATAAAAAAGAATAACGAAATTGAATGTTCTAGAACCTGACCGGGGGTATATAAGCGGAACTGCGGCTCACCGCTGGCAGTTGAGTTCTAAGTCCAAAGCGATTCGGAAGAAAAGGAAGAAGTGAAAAGAAGAAAAGTGAGTGAAATAGTGAAGTACAGTGAAATAGTGAAGTGCAGTCAGTTAAGTGAGTTAAGTCAGCGTGAACAGTGAACGGCAAAGTTGTGTCAGTCGGCCGGACTCTGCTGGAGAGGAACGCCAATAACTTATCCGTATCCGTGGACGCTGTCACTTAAGTGCAATAGAAAGTCTGAAAACCGGTATTAGTGTTTAATTTCATCCAATCCCGTAACCCAAGCCCGCATAGTTAGGAACGTGACGTCAGGCACGTAACATTTGGTGTCAGAAGTGGGATTGGAGAAAAATGCCGCTAGTGCCGCAGGACGTAAGAGGAGTGAGTACCCGTGCTATGTCAGCAGCGCAGCGTGTGAGGGAAGAGGGTGCTGCAGCTCAGACCAGCAATGCAGAAGCCAAGCCTGTGCAGATGGATCTTCTGCTACAGCTGCGGCAAATGATGGCAGAACAGCTGCGTGAGCTGAAAGAAGATCAAGCGCGCCGCCAAGAAGAGCAAGCACGCTGTCAGGCAGAACAGCTGCGGGAGCTGAAAGAAGATCAAGCGCGCCGCCAAGAAGAGCAAGCGCGCCGCCAAGAAGAGCAAGCGCGCCGCCAAGAAGAGCAAGCGCGCCGCCAAGAAGAGCAAGCACGCTGTCAGTCAGAACAGCTGCGGGAGCTGAAAGATGATCAAGCTCGTCGCCAAGAGGAGCAAGTGCGTCGCTTGGAAGACATGCATAAAGATTTCACGAAGGGACTGCAAAAGGCTGTCAAACGGGTACAAGAAGTGGAGGAAGGTTTAGGCAAGTTGGAACATCGCGTCATGGCGATAGAGGAGAGATTGGAAGAAGAGATCTCCAAAATCAAGCAGGAAGTGACAAACCCAAGCCCTTTGAAGAGCCGAAGCCGTCTTGCAGCCGTTTTTGACGCCCCAAATGCGGCCTTAAGCGCAACGAAAGGGCTCAAGATTCCCCATTACGACGGAACAACATCCTGGACCGCGTTCAAGCTACAGTTTGAGACACTTATGGAGGCTTATGGTTGGACTCAGAAGGAAGCACAGTCAGCCCTCACCCTGGCCCTCCGTGATCAAGCGCTCTCAGTGCTGGAAGCTATCGGCGCAAGTGGGGATCTCAGCTTTAGTGCCCTCCTCAACGCACTTGAGGCACGTTTTGGAGACAGCCACCTCGAGCACGTATACAGAGCGCAATTAAAAGAGCGTACTCAGCGTGCTAATGAGAGCCTACAGCAATGGTCCGTGGAAATCGAGAAACTTGTGCGTCGAGCTTTCCGGTCGACTCCGTCAATGATTGAAGGCACGCTTCTCCTAGCGTTCATTGACGGTATTCGGGACCCCGAAGTACGAGCTGCTGTTCATCTGGGCCATCACAAGAACATGAAAGAAGCTCTGGCCCATGCATTGGAAGTGGAAGCCGTGCGTGGCAACTCCCGTACCTTACGTCTGCGGGAAATGACGACAACGGAGCAGGTACCTCCACGCCGTCGGAATTTCATGTGCTATGGATGTGGAGAGCGTGGGCACATACGGAGCGACTGCCCGAAGAAGATGAACCGCCAGGACGCGGCGGTCTCAACTTCTGACCAGCAGGGAAACTTAAATCCAGCCAGGGCTGCGGGGTGGGCGCTGGCTGGTAGTGGAACAACCCCAACAATCTACATCAAGCAAACCAACGATGGAAATACTCTGGTGATAGACGGTCAAGTAAATGGGAAAAACAGTCAGCTAACATTAGATACTGGAGCTTCAAGGACGGTGATAAATGTTCGGCTGCTCGAGCAAAACATCAGGAAACACCTTAAACCAATTGTTGGCCTACAAATGAAATCAGCTACCGGCCAGTGCATACCGATAAGTGGAAAACTGCATGTAACAATCAAAATTGGGGAACGTGTTTATCGACATGAGGTTATTGTGGCCAAAATTCTGGATGACTGCATCCTGGGACTTGACTTCCTGCAAGGGCACCAGTGTAACATCGACCTAAAATCTGGAGTTTTACTATGTGGAACTGAGGAAATTCCGATGAAGGGTGGAACCCTGGGAAAAGTTTGCTGTTTAAGAAGAACTGTTCTTGCACCAAAATCACAGACTCTCGTACCAATCGCATTACCTAGGAGGAAGGAGGGAAGTTTACCTCGAAGGTGCGCTGTGATTGATAAATCGGAACACGTAAGCTCATGGCTACCGGCAAGAACTGTCGTGGGGTCATCTGATGTCAACTGCATTCCAGTATTCAACTTCAGTGATTCAAAAATTACGATTGAAGAAGGAGAGCCTGTGGGCGTATTGGAAGAAGTGGCCTGGATAAGAAAATGCTCGGAGAATCTTGTGAAGAAGGACAGTACGGGAATAGACTTTGTAACGAAAATCTTAGACGAAAACAAAAGTCTGACAAAAGTGGAGACTATGAAAGCTAGAAATTTACTTCTTCGATTCTCTGATGTGTTTTCAAGAAGCGATGGTGATATTGGCCGAACTGGTTTGGTGAAGCATAAAATAAACACAGGTGATACAATGCCAATTCGTCAAAGGCCCAGACGCATACCATTCGCTCGTGAGAAAGAGGTTGAAGAAATGATTGACGATATGAGGAAAAATGACGTGATAGAGCCCTCTTCTAGCCCTTGGTGTTCACCTGTCGTGCTTGTCAAGAAGAAAGATGGTTCAACGAGGTTTTGCGTAGACTATCGACGATTGAATGATGTAACCAAGAAGGATAGCTACCCGTTACCAAGAATCGATGACACACTTGACACACTGAGTGGCATGAAATGGTTTTCAACGCTCGATCTGAAAAGCGGCTATTGGCAGGTGGATTTGGATCCCAAGGACAAGGAAAAGACCGCATTCTCAACTGGGAAGGGACTCTGGCAATTTAAGGTGATGCCATTTGGATTATGCAATGCACCGGCAACCTTTGAGCGTTTGATGGAACAGGTGCTGGCGGGACTGCTGGGCGAAACCTGCCTAGTTTACCTCGATGACATCATCATTGTTGGACGGGATTTTGACGATCATCTAAGGAAATTGGAAAAGGTACTCGATAAGCTGCGTGGAGCAAATTTAAAGTTGAGTCCAAAGAAATGCTCTTTCTTCAAGCGCGAAGTGAATTATCTAGGACATGTTATTTCTGAGAGAGGAATTGAGACTGATCCAGCCAAGACTGCCGCTGTTAAGGAATGGCCAACACCTAAAGACAAAACGCAAGTTCGGGCATTTCTTGGATTGTGCTCGTATTATCGGCGGTTTGTGAAAGGATTCTCGGACATTGCCAAGCCTTTGCATCGATTGACAGAGGAGAAACGTGCCTTTATCTGGGACGAGGATTGTGAGCAAGCCTTTCGAGAACTAAAAGAACGGCTTTGTAACACACCAATTCTCGGATACCCCAGCGCGAAAGGAATATTCGTAGTTGATACGGATGCCAGCAATATTGGAATAGGAGGTGTCCTTTCACAACGCGATGGTGAGCAGGAGAAGGTTATTGCTTACTTCAGCAAGTCACTATCCAAGCCGGAGAAGAATTATTGCGTGACCAGGAGGGAATTGCTGGCCGTAGTCAAAACTCTGCACCATTTCAAGAAGTATTTACTGGGACGGAAATTTTTGATCAGAACTGATCACGCTGCTTTGAAATGGCTGCTTCAGTTTAAGGATCCCGAAGGCCAAGTAGCCAGATGGTTGGAACAACTTCAGGAATTTGACTTTGAAATCGAACATCGCGGCGGAAGAATTCATGGCAACGCAGATGCATTATCGAGACGCCCATGCGTGGAAGATTGCAAGCATTGTGCCAAGAAGGAAACTGCTTTTCTTAAGGTGATAAGGACTGATACTGTTGACGAGGCATGGGGAGATGATGCGATGAAATTAGAACAGGAAAGAGATGCAGGTATCAAACCAATACTGGAGTGGCTACGAAGTGGTAACAAGCCAAGTTGGAGTGACGTCGCCCAATATAGCGCGGTAACGAAAGGTTTATGGGCACAGTGGAAAAGCCTTACGCTGCATAACGGACTTCTGTGCAGGAAATGGGAATCAACAAACGGCAAGGACGAGCATTTGCAATTGGTGGTGCCTCGTTCAAAAATAAGGGATGTATTAAAAGCGTTCCATGATGGATCTTCTGGAGGACATTTGGGAATTAGGAGGACTTTGGTGAAGATCAAGGAGAGGTTTTATTGGTTGCATTGCAAATATGACGTCGAAGATTGGTGCCGGAAATGCACTAGTTGTGCAGCTGTCAAGGGTCCACAAACAAGAAGCAGAGGGGCGATGAAAATCTACAATGTTGGTATGCCTTGGGAGAGAATAGCCTTAGACATCGTTGGACCATTTCCAATCACTGATTCGGGCAATCGCTACGTTTTAGTGGTTATGGATTATTTTACAAAATGGCCGGAGGTCTTTGCCATACCGAATCAAGAGGCAGTAACTGTAGCCACGAAGTTGGTAAACGAGGTATTCACCCGATTCGGAGTGCCCTTGGAGATGCACAGTGATCAAGGACGGAACTTTGAATCCCAAGTTTTCCAGGAAACTTGTAAACTTTTGGGAATCCATAAGACTCGAACGACCCCTTATCATCCACAGTCAGATGGAATGGTCGAACGCTTCAACCAAACATTGGAGCGACACTTAGCAAAGGTGGTTGACAGCCATCAGAGAGATTGGGACACTTACATACCTCTCTTCTTGCTTGCCTATCGGACTGCTGTACATGAAAGTACCGCAAAGACGCCTGCATTTGCAAATTTTGGAAGGGAATTGAGATTACCGGCAGATCTTGTATCGGGCTGTCCACCTGGTGACTCTCGCACCGAGTTTAGCGATTACATAAGCGAGTTAAGGGCAAAAATGTTGGACATTTATGAGCAGATCAGGGAGGCCGGTCTTCAAGCTAGTGATCGCGCAAAGACGCGCTATGATCGACGAGCCAATTCTGTTGGGTTTGAAGAGGGGTCATTGGTCTGGCTTCATAATCCAGTCAGAAGGAAGGGAAAATCTCCAAAGCTGCAACCGAGTTGGGAAGGTCCTTACGAGATAGTCACGAAGATCAATGACATTACTTACAGAATTCGGAAGTCTTCAAGGAGCCCTTTGAAAGTTGTCCATATAGACAGGTTGGCGAGGTATTACGGCAGCAACGATGCTCGGGACGAGCGAATCTAAGAGGGGGGCAGTGTGACAGAAAACTCTTTGACATCATGACGTCAATGGATGGTTGTCAAACGTTGCCTAGAGATTGTAAATTTCGTCGTGAATTGTCAACACGAGTTGGTGTAATCGGTAAGGCGTGTGGATTACACCACAGAGACCCCGAGTTCGAGTCTCGCCGTAAACATGAAGTTTTTTAGTTGATAGAAGTTTTGTCGAACTTTCTGGAATATTTGAGTGAAAGTAATGAAAAATTAAGGAGCGAGAAGGAGAATAAATAAAAATGAATAACGAAATTATTGGAAGGTTCTGGAGGCATGACGATAAAAAAGAATAACGAAATTGAATGTTCTAGAACCTGACCGGGGGTATATAAGCGGAACTGCGGCTCACCGCTGGCAGTTGAGTTCTAAGTCCAAAGCGATTCGGAAGAAAAGGAAGAAGTGAAAAGAAGAAAAGTGAGTGAAATAGTGAAGTACAGTGAAATAGTGAAGTGCAGTCAGTTAAGTGAGTTAAGTCAGCGTGAACAGTGAACGGCAAAGTTGTGTCAGTCGGCCGGACTCTGCTGGAGAGGAACGCCAATAACTTATCCGTATCCGTGGACGCTGTCACTTAAGTGCAATAGAAAGTCTGAAAACCGGTATTAGTGTTTAATTTCATCCAATCCCGTAACCCAAGCCCGCATAGTTAGGAACGTGACGTCAGGCACGTAACAATATGATTCAATGGGTGAACAGTCAAAGAACAGTGATACAAAATATAAACATTCTCCAACCGTTCCACAAACTATTCACCCTTTCTAATGTTTATTTCTTCTGTTTTACGGTTTAAAATTTAAATTCTTATTTAATTCCGAATGTGTACCTTCTGTTTTTACAGAAGATAACTTATGATGCGCATGTCAGAAGATTATGTCTTGTATGGCAGTAGATTATGTATGGAAAAAGATTATGTATGGCAGTAGATTATGGTATTGTTTTCAGTTTTTTAGAATAAAAGATAAAATTAATCTTACGATAAAAATATTTCAGACCGATTATTTGTATGAAAATCCCGATGAAGATCCAACCGTGCCTCCAGAGCCAGTTATTGAAGAACCACCTCCTCCACCACCGCCGCCACCACCCCCACCTCCTCCTCCACCTGCTCCGCCACCAAAAGGCGGTAAGAAAAAGAAGAAGTAAAATGTTTACACTGTCTTTTGTTATGGTTTATTAAATGATGTAATAATGAATTGTTATTTTTTATGACTATTAAATGATACCTTTTTTGATAAATAAGGGGAAAATAATCACACGACTTGTCTCTCGCCCAGGGCAAGGTGAGAGGGAGTGTCACTTACTGAGAACTGCCTGTTCCTTCTCCAGCTCCAGGCCGAGGCTCCTCGAATTGACTGTACGGTTGGCGTGGTGGCTGAACAACTGGCTGCCGCACTGTTGTCTGATTCACAAATGGGTGTTTTGTTTACGTGACATTGTTTGTTTGTAATCGCACCCACGACACAGGAGAAAAGCCTGGTCAAGTTCTAGTTCCGACTTAACAAAAAATAAGAAAACAAAATGAATTTATACGACCACATCAAAAAATACAGAATCACTGTTACTTACTCACGGTTACTGTTTACCTAATTAAACAATATCTATAATAGCAGAAAACGGTGTGAAACAAAATGTTTCATGCATTTACTTTTTGCCTCCTAATCCATCGAAGGAAATTAATAAGTGAGTTACAATAATGTATAAGAAATCTTCGACAAGATGATGTTGTGTGATGATGGTGCCAAGTTGTTTATTTATTATTGATGAAGATGTATGTATTTTTTTTTACGAATAAAATCTAACCTACACTTTGAAATTGTTCAGTCGCGACACGTCATGCTATTGTCTATCTCTGGCCTTATTTTATCTGTAAATTTTCGGCTTCAATATTGTCTTTGATAGTTCGTCCGTCTTCTTTGCTTCTGGTTCATAGATGACATGACATATGAAATGTCGCTCTTGTAGGCAATGAGTAGTAATTTGATGCAAAACATTTTGATTTTAACATTTTTCGTTCAGTTCGTGTTAATATGTATTAATAAGATTGTATGAGCTTATACTCGTGTTAGTTGGCGTGACTGATTTTCTTATATATAAATAATTAGGTATCAAAACTAGGGCAATGGATCTTGAGGACAATGCAATGGGTTTAACCCATGAACAGACGGACAAAATACTTCAATTTCAAGATTTAACTGGAATAGAAGATATGTCAATATGCAGAGACGTTCTACAAAGGCATCAGTGGGATCTGGAGGTAATGTCTTAATTTTTTTGTTGATATGTCACGCGATGTCTCCTTATGGCCGACTCGAAGATAAGCTTACTCATAACATTGTACTGAGATGTACAAAACAGTTCCCCTAAAACTGGGTGTTGTATGTATATCATGTTATTTTTAATTTAATATTAATCACAGCTTTATGTTAACGTAAATATTTTGTAGGTGGCGATACAGGAACAGTTGAATATCAGAGAGGGTCGACCATCAGTGTTTGCTACAGAGGCTCGCGCGCCTCCTGTGGTACATGACCACATAGCACAGCAAGTGTTCACAGATGAGGCTCCGGAAGGGCCCGGTGGGGTTCGGGGCCTGTTCCACTATGTAGTTAACCTTGTAGTGTCTGTGTGTTACAGCACAATAACATCAGTGCTGAACTTGCTCCTTAGTTTTGTGCGCAATGATGACAGAAGATGTAAGTATTGTGGCCTATTTTGTTCTTTTGTTTAAGAATAACAAAGACTAACTATTGTTATTGTTGAAATTGTACTGTGAAACATTTTACCTGTAAGTGTGGTATTATTTCTCAAAGATATTGTTTAGTGAAAGTGAAAGTATTTCTAGTCACCTCAATAAATCAAAGCCAAATTCTTGTCTGTCTTATTATACTGTTCTAGAATGGTGTGGAATCTGTGCTTATAATCCAGTTACATAGCATGGTATTTTTTTAGTGGTGACTGATCCATTGGGAGATGTTATGGGATTTATCAACAACTACACATCTCGCTTCAACCCCCATCCTGTGTTTTACCAGGGCACATATGCACAAGCCCTTAATGATGCCAAGAACGAGCTGCGTTTCCTTATTGTATACCTACACTCTGAGTCAGCCTCAGAAACGCAAAACTTTTGCAGGTAAGTTGTAAAGGATCTTATTTCCTTCACATTTAAGTTTACATCAGCTTAGTTAAAAGTAATTTCACAACTATTTTACTTATTTTTTGTAACAATAAATTTACCATCTGTATAATAGATTACTAAACAATTAAATAATTTAAGATTGAATATTTTAGCATAACACTTGTGATAGCGTTTTTTTCATACATTAATGTTTTCAGGACGACCCTGGCAGATCCAGAGGTGATCCAGTACATAAACACGCACGCCCTGTTTTGGGGTTGTTCGGTGGAGAGTGGTGAGGGTTGGCGCGTGGCTCAGTCGGTGGGCGGGCGGCGCTACCCCCTGCTTTGCGTCGTGTGCGTCCGCGAGCACCGCATGACGGTGGTGGCGCGCTCCGAGGGTGCCTGCAGCGCGCACCAGCTGCTGCAGCGTCTGCGCCGCGTCGTCACTGACAACGAGCCACATCTAGCTGCCGCCAGGGCTGATAGGTATACAATCTGTATTTTTTTTAAATATTTTATTTATGAGTTTTTTGACTAGTAACTATCATAAGACATACTAAATTTATTGAAAATACGACTTGTTCACTTTAATCAACTAAGAAAAGCTCTACTAGTTTCTCTAACTTAGCCTGTTGGCTGCGGAACGCAGCTGTGACGCGCACCCTGCTCATGAATAAGTGTCCCGTTCTGACTAGTAGAGCTTTTTTTAGTTGTTTCATGTGAGTAAGTTATTATTATCAATAAATTTATTATGAGTTTTTTCAGATGAATATTTGAAATGGTTGATGAGATTTTCAAATGTTTAATTTATTGGTTATTCTGTTATTGGAGATGGAGGTATATCAAAGATCATGTAATAAATGCTATTACAACGAAGAAAGATTTACAAAAGAAATAAGCATCTTTATTGTACGTATTGAGATCTCATATGTTATGATGATGTATTTGTCAGAGTGGAGCGTGAAGTGACGGCACGCCTGCGGGCGGCGCAGGACGAGGCGTACGCGGAGTCGCTGGCGGCCGACCAGGAGAAGGAGCGGCGCCGCGCCGCCGACCGCGCCGCGCGGGAACTGCGCGAGCACGAGGACCTCCAGCGCAGGCAGCAGGAGGAACGCCACAAGCTGGACGTGAGTACATAGAGCTTTTTCTCTAAAATTATACGAGGGATAATGAAAAGTGAAAGTAAGAAACTGTTGATGAGTGATCCTTAACTTTCGTTATGTACTATGTTGTATTTCACAAGAGGAAAGTTAAATAAGTATAGTAATTGTTCTATTGACATTGAAAACTTATTTTTTTTCAGTAATTAAATAAGTGTATAAGTTTATTCATTTCAAATAATAAGCATAAATTTATCATAGATGTAACTTTCCTTAATCAAAAATAAATACATAGTTTCCATTTTTCAATGCAATATTTTATAATATGAAGAAATGAACCCACTTTGACTGACTTAAAATATTATAATTTGCTTATTTTTTCTATTTATTTTATCAAAATAAATATGCTACTTGAAGCAGGAAAAAATCCAGATGTCAACAACCCTTGTATAAAATTCATAAAAAACTGATGATTTTCACAATTCCAAATGAGTAGTGAACATATATTTTTATAGCATTCATATTATCATTTGAATTTGGACAAAACACTACAAACTCATTCTTTAAATAATGCAAATGAATAGGGAACCAACTTTCCTCAATGATGCAATGAGAGATGTATTGTACAGCTGGTGGCGGCCCGCCAAGCGATGGCAGCGCGCCTGGCCCCCGAGCCGGCGGTGGGCAACGGTACTGTAGTACTGCTGATACGATTGCCTGGAGGGGAGAGGCTCACTCGACGCTTCACACTCACGCACACCACGCAGGTACGTTTGTTATATACACTTTTGTCAATGTTTGAATCTGTTCCATTTCTAAACAAAGTGCATGAAGACATCATCGTCATCAGCCTATAAGAGTGCCCACTATTAAGCAAAGGTCTCTGCTCACATGGAGAAGGTTTGTCGTTTCGTGGTAGCTCGGAGGTTAACACATTCAGTGCCCCCGACGCGTATGTGCGTTTCCTCGCACGCACATACGCGTCGGGGGCACTGAATGTGTTAAGGCGAACGCTTCTTGTGCATGAGAGTTCCAGTGCGAAAACTGGCAAGTATGTGACTTTTTCCGAGTTATATGCACTTTCTATAGTAATATAGATACCACTGACATCATTATGGTGAAGGAAAACTTGGTGAGGAAAGCTGAAAGCCAATCTGCTTTGAGCTAGCATGGCGGTTAATGTTCAAACCATGCAGACGTGTATGTCAGAAGTAAGAACTGCTAAACTCTTGGCGCTTCGAAAATTACTTTAAAAACATATTTTTCATTAAAGGATCATTGTCAATATTTAGTCTTGAACTTTTACAAACTGATCTATGTTATTGTCCGCAGGATTTATATGACTTCGTGTTCAGTCATCCGCAGTCTCCAGAAGAGTTTGAGATCACGACCAACTTCCCCAAGCGTGTCCTCGCCCGCGGTGCCAACAGCCTCATGGACGTCGGACTAAAGGATCGCGACGTACTCTTTGTCAACGATATAAATGCATAAAATGCGTTAGTGCTCTCATATAGGTACATAGCTAGTAACATCTTGTTGGGATTACCATGGAGTAGTACGCAAATGAAGATCTATGGGATGAGTGTTGAAGAATGTTTGTCGTTACAACAGCCCTGAATCGAGATGGTGGATGGATCCATGGTCAACACACACATTATATTACTAAAATTGTCTTTTTCCGTCAATTTGTAGATCACTTTGATGTTACGTCTGTTTAAATGACATAGGGTTCATTGGCATGCATTTGGGTTGTGATTGGTCGATATCGTGAGTGCGTGATTACTTCATTTGCTCATTAGTCCATGTTTATACGCGTTTGAAAGTTCATCATACTGCCGCGTCGAATTTTCGAGCGGTTGGTAATGGAACATGTACATAATACAATGAGCAAGGTACATACACAATATGCACATAATTATAATACATTTGTGTCATCCATATAACTTATGACCAATGTTAGTATCTCACCCTGGATAACTATCTCTGTTCAATTTAAAGGAAATGATTTCGTTGTTAAGCCTACGAGTATTTGATGTGTCCCTTAAAATTGAATTCTAATTTCGTACAATCAGCCATCGCTAAACTCAGAATGCAGCTATTTATTCGCTAAAAAATTTGGATCTTAACCATCGACATTTAAGATTTATTTTATCTAATGTTATACACATTATTTTTATGGTGAAATTGTTGATAAGTTTGTTAGAAAGTGTGATAGCTCAGTGTGCGAAATTATAACGTTTTAATACCATGACCGTTTAATAATTATGACTTCACACATTACAACCAATACTAGAGCAAACATTGTCTTGAATAAGAAAACATTGGTGAACTAATTAACGACGAACTGTTTGTCAACATACGGTATTAGTAAGTGAAGCCGCGATGTGACTGATATCCTGACTTAGGACACCCTGGCAACAGGGTAATTAGTTTTGTACTTAAACTATAGTACAATAAGGTCCCCTTTCATTTGAGTTGCAATACTGTCGTTTGTTATCGCTGGACGATTGGCATAATTATTATTTTTTGCCTCATAATGTAGAACTTGAATAATGAATCTGTAGCTATGATAGATTTAACGAAATAAACATAATAATAGAATGTCATGATGTTCGATTTGTGTCAATATTTCATTCAAATTATATGCATGTCAATTGTATGTTGACATGATCCGAATCATGGTGAATGGGGCCGTTATAGAGGACTAGCCTCGATAGTTTAATGACCTTGTAACTTGGACTAGCTTCTTTACACTCCATTTAATAAATTGCAAATCAGAACTTGATGTTTATAATGTGTAATTGTGTAGTCTTGAAATGAACGAATGGGTTATAAAAGTAACATTTATGACATATTGTAATGCTCAAATTATTCAGTACGCCGGACGCGTACTTAGGAGGTTCATTGTACTCAGGTTGTACGACCTCTAGTAACTAGTAGTCGTTACATCGTCAATTTGCGATAATGTCTACATTAAATTCTAGATTGCTGATTTTTTTTTAAATACCGTATCGTAAATCTTCTTAAAGGTTGCTATATCCCAATTTTCCCTTCTACTATTCTAAAATTATCTTTCATTAAACCCTTTGATCTAACAAACACTGAATAAAAAACAATCGGAATAGGTCTAGCCACTTTGGGGCCATGACTAAGGGAATTTGGGATTTATTTTTATAAATATACATAAAAACTTGTACACGTGCTGTAATGTATGCAATAATACGATAATGGACAACTTATTACGATGAGACTTTTCGTACGAAGTATAAACGCGTGTATCCCACTCTTATTGTGATATTCGTATGTTGTATGTATGTACTAATATTGTATAGGTATTGTAAACCAAAATCTGGAATAAGACAATGTTATTCGAAAGATACGTGGGTTAATTGCATATCAAATTATTATTTTATTATTATTTAATTCGGGAAATATGCCTTTTTTTTAATAGGAACTGTTCTTGCGCTGAAGGCAAAGGTTTTGTCGGTTTTGTTACCTTTTTGCACACGGCGAAGATTTGTTTTGGCCTTGAAATATATATGACTCTGTTCATTTGTTGTTATGATACTTACTTGTGATAAGTTTCAAGGAGGACCTCAACATTCTTGTGTTAAGATCTTGCGTTGTCAATGTCTCGAAGAGGCTCGCCCTCCTACATTTGAACAAATTCTCCGTCGTGTAAGCCAACAAGTTTAAAATTAGTTTTGTTCCTTCTACAATATTAATTTGTATGAATGTCGAACTTGTACTCTATGTGAATATTACCTTCGTCTACTAATAGGTAATAGGTACGTAATTATATATAAACGATCCTGTCATAACTAGTTTAAACAAGTTTTAAAAATCAATCGTACCATTTTGTGAAAGACAATGGCTGAGTTGCGGATCCAAAACACAAAGTTCTTGGTTATATTTACGTGTTCCACAATGTGTACGTATTTGTAAATTAAGCAGTTGTCTACAGAAAAAGAACAAAACTAATTTTATACGAGGCTTGTATGTAATTCTAGTAAGTTATGATCGATATTTTATAAGGTAGAAATAAATAGATCAAGGTACATAATTGTTATTATTTTATCTCGCATTTTTGGTTGAATGTCGCTTCATATGTTCTGTTTCTTTTGTTTTTATTTATAGATGTTTTTAATATGTAAATTATCCTTGATGCGTTCCATTCTTGTAATTAATTTTGGCAATAATTTTGAACTGAGAGGTGTTGGGAGAATTTCTTATATGGCAAGATGCGGCGCTTTCGGTCAAAGGTTACATGCATTTACTTCTAAAACGAACTGTGTATTATATTGTTTTGTTGTATTATAGTCATGTTTCTTCCTAAATAAATGTTTTTATTTAAATACTCTACTTACTTACTTTTAAAAATATTTCAATATTTAAAATCAAATATCGATTTTTTTACATCATTTATTAGAAACCCATAAATCAACAACACACCAAAAACAAAATACCGTATGGAATGTAGGCACTTTTTAAACATTCACCAATTTCACATTTATAAGTAAAAGCATAAATGAAAAATACATAGGTATACTACAAAATTATACAATAGAATTATTAAAATTTGTTAATTTTATAACACACACCTAGTTTCTATGCATGGTTTTATTACACTACTATTTCAATGCATACATTAATGGTTACCCGTTTGATCAATGAAAATACTAACTTAAAAACTAATATAAAATTTTGTTGTCCTTTTACAAAATGTTAGTATTTGATATGTTGTAATTATTTTACCATGATATCCGAAATATTGTTATGTACATTTTGAATTTGAATAATGCTCATGAAATACTGGAATACAATGTCTGATCTGCAAAACTATATGTATAAAACTCTATAAGGACATTTCATATCAAGATAATTAAATGTGAAATAAGAATAGATGACTAGTAAAATATTAGTTTGATTACATTACAAGTGAAAAGTAGACTTTTTCTTACAAAGTATTCCTGACTGCACACTAAATTCTCATAATTATTTGCTCATTTTAAGTACTTCACATTAGTTGAAATATATAGATCAGATATTGATTTAATATATTTAGCACTACGTATTCTTTATAATTCGTTTAAAAGTAGCATGGTACGACTTTGGCACTAAAATATAGATTGAAATAAAAAATGGGTAAGAACAATAAGAAAATACACACAGAATTAATTAATTAAACATAATATGATTACAATATACATTTAATAATGGATGGAATAGGTACATAAATATCGACAGGATTTTACTTCATACAATTATGACTTACTGTTGTCTTTCTGTACATTGAGCTAATCTACTCAATCACAAATATTCTAATCACAAATTACTAAAATAATGTCTGACGTACCTAAAAAAGCTAAGTTATCACACTTTGGTTTTAAAACTAATACACATTTAATTTGTTCTTGAAATTTATCGTAAGTGCGAGAATTTGGCCGAAACTTGTTAAACAGTTTCTACGATGTAGTTTATTAGTTACAGCTACAGTATTAATAGATCTCACTCTTGACTAAATATTATAAAAAAAAATTAGACGTTCTTTTTTTAAAAACTACATTATACATTTTATAGACTATTTACAATTCCTTCCTTTTTATTGGGCAGTTACAATATTTTAGGAATAAAAAAACTTATTTAATGCTATAGTTGGATTTTAATCTATTTACTGTTTTAAGTGCTTTTATATCAAACAGAAGATGTGTGATTTATTTTTGGCATATTTCGTGGAACAAAATTATTGTTTGCGCTAAACTGCATGGTTGGCGGCATTAAGCAGACACCTAGGTAGTTCGTGCAATGCGCAAGTATGCGCATCTATTGCGCTAATACATATTTTTGCGTAAAACCTTTCCGAAAACGAATATTTGTTTCTTGTGATTGTCACTGGCAAAGAAATTTTGCGCAAACATATTTATGGCACTCATCCCATAAAAGCGTGAATACAGTCGTCTTTGAAGCCATGTTTTTTCAATAAATCAAGTCCAGCGTACGTGAACTCAGTAGGGCCACACAGGCAAGCGTAATGAGAACATTTGTCGTCACATTTTACATCTTTTAGTATATCAGTAAGAAGCTCGTCTCTGATGCGACCTTTGTGACCAGACCATGACGAACTGGCGTCTGATAGAACGTGCGTAATCTTCAGCCTGGAACAAAGGTAGGTTGAGGTTAGTTTGCTGGCGATTTTTAGAGATATGGTAATGAAAAGGCCAAATGATCCTAGGCATACAACAAGAGATTGTATAGAATATTAGTTCCTTTTTTCGTTTTAGTCTAAAATATATAGTACTTCATGAACTAGAATAAATAAAAACAGATTGCTGACAGAGCAATCTGTTTTTATTAATTATCTATCTGTATTAAAATATCTGAGACGATTAATATCATAAATATCATAAATATTAATCGTCTCAGATTTTTTATTTTTAATTATGTAGGTACTTCATCAAACTGTTTTACCTTTCGTCTTCTTTGACCATCTCTTCGAAGGTTTCTCGAAATAGGATATCAGCTTCAGTTTTATTGAAAAATAATAGATGTGTCCGTTCGCTGTAAGGTAAAATGAATGTGATTAAATTAGCAAGTCTAGGAGAAAGATACCTAATGTGTATCCTGGCAGTCAAGCGGTTACAAGTGAAAATACTGTATCAACATTTTGATATAAAAACTTAACATAATAATATGGTCTTTATTTTTTATTGATATAGGTAGATATCTCAGTCTCACGGAGTTCTAACAAAAAGGAACTAGTTAGATTGTAGGAGGGGTTGCAGGGCAAGCTTAATAAGGCATCGCAACATCGGCATAGAGCAGAAGAAGGAACGGGGGTTTTAGCCAGTAAGAGTCTGACACTCCCTCTCGTCTCACCCTCGCCAGGAGTCGTTTGATGATTTTCTCCTTGCAAAAAAGAGTGAGATATAGAGTAGATAGGTAAGTACCTATAGGTATTGATACAACACTTATACTTTAAAGCTTAGTTCCTTTCTTCATAATTTTTAATAGGTAGCTTCTTTCAGTTAATTTCTACCTAGTACTTTAATATCGATTACATAATGATGACGTAGCAACAAAGTACCTATGATTGATGGGTCGACCTCGCCTGGATCCGACCGCCTATTTCCGACGTTCATGTTAGGTGCAGGGTGTTCGTGTAATATTTTCTTATTTGTAAATTACGTGAAAATGTGTTTATTTATCAGTTAATCACGGGCCATAATTACTTTCGTCACGTCATCTTTGACTGTGTTCAAAGCTATGGCTTCCTTTTCTAATGATATGGATAGAAAGAAGAGAGCTTTTATGTAACAGCGATTATTATTCTGACAGCAGTTCTTATTGCCTCAATATTCGAGGGGACGCTAGTACATTCCCGGGTAAAATATACAGGGTGTAAGGGACAGCCCTCCACAAATTAACAGGGTGCATTCAGCTCCTTATTCTGAATCATATTCCAGTGAAAATTCTTTCAGGAAAATTTTCAATTTTTTTTTTCGTTTTTTCAGTTTCTACACCTCTATTTCAATGTATAATTACATTCTATGTATGAAGAATAACATTAATGTAAATAACATAGCTATAACAAAAAAATACGCAATGGTTGTGTGAATTCTCTAAAGAACTACGCATGAAATCAGTGTGTTCAATTTCTACCTAGCGCGAGTCGTTTGAACTCACCGCACCGCGGTCACGGCGCAGCGGCTCGGCGCCCCACCGCGCCGATCGCCGCGCCGTAGGTATACCTACGATCCCGTCCAACGTACAGAATAGCTGCGTCCCTTTCTGTCGATTGAACCAGTGTTGCCAACTTTTAACTTTTGTTACCTCTTCTACCTTTCTACCTTTGTAAACGAAAATGTTAGAACTATCGAAATTTATCTAAAACTTGAGAACTCCTTTGCATTCATAATCACATTGATGAGATTTTCATTAATCAATTAATGAAAATCTTGTCGCGCACATAAATTGAATAAAAAATAAATAAAGATTACTTAGTCTAGTTTTAATTTTAAAGCATTTACAAATACTACCTAATTTATTAATTGATTGTTCTTTTTAAGCGATTACTGGCTAGTTTTTAAACTACTTACAGATTTACATGGCTTCACAATAGCCATAAATTGATAGTCGAGCCAGAAATTAAACACAATCTCCCTGGAATGGAAGCACAGCTTTCTATCACACTGCACTTTTATTATTCTAAATTAACTAAACAATGAAATTAGAATTAAATTGATTTAATCAATTCATTTCTCTACAAAAAATAACAGAATGATAAATTACGACCATGCATAATTTTTTATTTTTTATCCCAAAATTTTGTAATTTTCGTGTAATTGGCAACAACAGATTTATGTTTGTGTGTGTCTCATCACATGCAGTCGCCATTGTGCCTTGCTGCGATGTTACTGTTTGTGTACCGCGAGCGTGTGTCGGTACGGATCGCTCGCGCATTCGGCTTAAAAGTTTTGTTATAAGCAGTGTTGTTAAGTTTTATTAGTTATGTAGTGTGTGAAGTGTAGTGAAGTTTTGTTGTAGAAATTGTGCGAAATTACCTACTACCTAGGTACGTTTAGCGCGCGTGATTATGGGGAGATGATAATGTGTTGTAGTAGTGTAGGTATCCTGACCGTCGGCATCCATCAGACTCCAGGATAATTACTGGTGACTATCAACGCTTGCTAGAAAACCAGCCCATTGTTCCCAGACAAAAAGGCGCCGGAAGACCAATACCTACGTGGATTTTGGAATTGGTTCGCTAACGTAACGAGACGCTACCAGCCTACCACTTACCAGTGCTTTCCTATTTAAACGTAGTTTAGGTAGGTTTGGACCGCAACCGTGGCCAGCACGATCCCCAGACCTAACCCATTTGGACCCCTTTTTGTGGGGTTACGTAAAAGAAAAAGTGTTTGTGAGTGCGTGTGCAAGTGAGTACGAAATGCGAGACCGCATCACAAATGCTTTCCAGAGCCGGAAACCGGAGCGATTCTAAGGTACCTACGCATTTTTCTTTTTTTATCATTTATCAGTTACCATGTTATGATTGTTAGATTTTCTTTTGTTAGTAATGCGGCTATCTTTTAAATAATAATTTATTGTTATTAAAACGTGTCGCGAGCGCGATTATTAAATTGTCTTTTGTAAGTACCTAATGCGGCTATCTTGTAAATAATAATTTATTGTTATTAAAACGTGGCGCGAGCGCGACCGTTTGTCCGAAAGGTAAGGACGCGGCGCTGCCCATAGTGTAAAGTAATAATACTAAAAGAGCTGCCGTTCGCTGCGTGCGTTTGCGGTGGTAGCGATACATTGCGTGTAAGGTAATGAAACAAATCGGTTTAATTGGATTCCCGTAACGTTCCTGAAATAATTTCATGTACCGGTCAACTTAAGACGATATACTGAATCCACCCTATCAGTTTGCGGAAGGCTGTCCCTTACACCCTGTATTAGTATTCCTTCAGTTTTCTAAATTATTCTCAGTAATGATCTCTCCTTCACCTCCCCCTATCCCTCCGTAATCCCTAAACATCCGACACCTTAATATCCCCAAAAGAGCGGCAACGCAATCGTAGCTCCTTTGGTGTTGCAAGTATCGATGGGCGGAGCCAATTGCTTACCATCAGATTATCCGTTCCGCTCCTTTACCGAGCTATCTCAAAAAAATTACATGGTATTCATATGGTAAAATTATCGAAATGGTACCTACGTACTTCGGTATATGTACAGTTTTACAGATCTACCTACCACTTCGTAGATTAAAAGCAATAAACTCACCATCTAGGATTAGACCTTGACATCATAAACTTTATAAGGCCGAGCATAGGCGTAATCCCAGTACCGGCCGCTATCAAATACAGGGTCTTCACTGTCTTCAGCTGAAACGGACAATAAACGATAAATTACACTCATTGCTGATGTTTCAAATGTCCCGAGAATTTTGATTTATTTGGTCATACAAAGAAAAGATGATCAAGTTGGTTTTTTATGAGTTCGGGACGCCATTTAAGTTATTTATGAGCGCTTTGTTCTACAAACCGCGGGGTTATAAAGAGTTTGAAAAGGTCAAGAGGACCTCTACCCTTCTAAACTATTCAGTTCCAACCACTAATATAGGCATACGCTATTGGAAAACTAACGTAGGTAACAATATAGTTTGAACAGGTCAGCTGAAACGACTAAACAACTAATAAAGTGCAAAGAAAAAGTTACTTAGAGTAAATAGCAAAGAGTTCACAATTACAAAAAATCTTTTTAAAAGGCGCCAATTAAATAAAATTTCTTGATTCTCCACGGGTACAAATAAGCAATGAAAAGTCACGAGCTCGTTGAGTAGAATTCTGATAAAAAGATTCAAAAATAATAACAGTTGGACTGTTTGAAGTTCTAAAGTTAAAAAATACACAATTAAAACTACCTTCTGCAGTTGAAAGTTGCCGTAAGGTCCAGAGAGGGTAATGAGATCTCCAACTTTGAGTGCCGTGAGATGTGGAGAGAGGACGCCACTGTCGTAACGCTTCACCGCCAGTCGGAGTGCTGAGAAGATTTCAGTGCCATCTGGCGGTCCCCAGCCCTCACCAACGGGCGTGTACGAACGCACACATTCTGAACCTAGAAACAGAAAATAAAAAGTTAAGTTGATTTTACATTTAGATTTATTTATATAACTAGCTCCTTTCACGCGGTTTCACCCGCTGCTCAGCTCCTAAAGATCATAGCGTGATGTTTTATAGGCTGTAGCCTTCCTCTATAAAACAAACACAAATAGAATTGTTGAATTCGAACCAGTAATTCCGGAGATTAGCGCGTTCAAACAAACAAAGTCTTCAGCTTTATAATATTAATATAAATATAAAGTATAGATGTTTTAATGCCCACTTCTAATTTCAATAGCTATTTAGTTACCCTTAATGCACAATACAACTAGTAGACGAATCTATTGCTTCTACTTGGTGGTCAGATGCTAATAATATGAGGGACATTACACATTATTAGCCAAAAGACAACGATAATTAATTAAACTTAATAAGCGAGGACAATAGCTCTTATATTATTTTTGTGGAAAGGGGGTGGTGACGTCACATTTTACGAACAGAATACAAAGAAGGGATTAGCTCATAGCTAATTCCAAGCAGACGAGCGGATTTGATGTCAGGCCATTCGTGCCGGTGCCTGATGGGCAGTAGGTAACAAAATTTTAACAGCCACTGAAATAAAAAGTAGGTAATCTAAAAGGTACCATACGCCATCCCATCTTGCCGTCCAACGTAAATAACAAGACGGATTACTATCGGCCGACCACGCGACTAAGAAGAGGTGAAAATAGAACATACAAAATAACCATAAACTACTTTTTTTTTGTTTTTATGTACTTTAAGTAAGTTATTCTATTCTGCTTTTTCGTAAATCTCGTAGTTCTTATACTCTTTCTTATACACTTATTCAGCCGAGTAAAGTTTAAAGCTCCAAGCCTTTAGAAGTAGGCTACTATTGTGTGAGAATCAATCTGTATTGGTAATCTTATTATACATAAAAAAAATTAGCTACATAAAATGTGTCCACATATTAATAGTTATAAAGACTTTACTATCAGTACTTTCATTTTCATATAGCAACCTCCTTTCTTCATACTTGACCAATCTAACAGTACAAGTGTGGGAGAGCCATGCTTCAGCATGAATGGGTGGCTCGACCGGAGTGATACCACGGCTTCACAGAAAACCGGCGTGAAACAACCACAGCGTTGTTTCGCCGTGTGAGGTTACGGGAGGCCCAATCCTTCCCGTCCCTTAATCCCTCCCCAATCCCTAAATCTCTAAAAGGTCGGCAACGCACTCGTAACTCCTCCGTTGCAGTGTCCATGGGCGGCACTGATTGCTTACCATCAGGTAATCCGGCTGCTGGTTTGCCGACCTATTACATAAAAAAACAAAATTAAAACCCCGCTACATATAATTATGAAGACTTTTCTTGAACAGTGCTTCCATATTCCTACAGCAACCTCTATTCTCTATACCCTATTGTGTTTATGTAAGTAGATAAGCCGTCACCACTTGAACCTTCCCTCACTAACAAAGTTCCGCTGCAGATAGCACTAATGAAGGTTATAAGTACGCACTACGCTTCATTAATTGTATATTTATATAGGGACAGACAGTATTCAACGTTTTCCAATCTATTTTCATTGTTTAGGGTCTTCTATAAAATCAAATAAGGGACTTGAATACATTTTCCTGTGTAAGGTTTTAGAATGCGGAATCATCGGGGGCGTACTCATAGAATGAAAATTCCCGCGTAAATTTTACGGAAAAAATACGGCTGTTTTGAATTGCGTTCTGAAGACGCCAATGTTGGTTGTGTTAAAGTGAAACTATATTTCTGGCATCACAGTATGTAGTTAACGATAACTTTTTTTGAGGCATTTGGCCTAATGACTTCTCGCGCACTGCGTGGGGTGAGAGGGGATGTCAGCCTCCTACTGAATGAAAAACACCTTATTCTTTCTTTTGCTCTAGTCCGAGGCCGCGGTGCCTTACCGCGTTTGCCCCGCAACCCCGGCTGAACATCAGCACTATAGGGCCCCGTATGTGGTGGTCTATTGGCTCTTTGAGGCGCGCGTGGAACGCTACGCGCTATACGCTATACGCTCGGGTCTGGTTCTTGCAGGGCGGCGAGCTGCCCTTATCCACCGTCCGCAGGTGGCAACAATAACTTCATTTAAATACATTTAACACTTGTAAAACATAGGTAGGTTCTATATATCAAAGCCGGTAGCTATTTTCTTTCCAAAAGGTATATTTCAATAACAACTACGGTGTCGAATAAAGAAATTGATATCAAAGAGAACACAAAGGCAATATAAGTGCTACCATTGAATTCCGAGACGGTAACGTGTTCCGTGTTGCCAAGAGAAAATATTCCAGACAAACGATTTGTTTTTCTGTTTGCGATCTTGTTTCAATGTTTTCAACTAAGTACAAGTATTGGAACAAAGATAGGAAATTAATTGGTAAACTTCGAGGATTACTCATTTTAGTTTTGTTTTTTAAAAGACTATCGTCGAATTGCCGTGCTTACAGACATACAATTATTACTAATTCCTTAGTAACGTTAGTTAGCATTAAATGATTGATTACGGCGGTGTCTGTAAGAAGGTTAAGCCGTAAGGCTTGTAAAGTAATTTGGCTTTCTAATCAAAGTAAACGAATCAGACGGATACATATTATGTTTATTCGTATAAACAACGAAACTCGTTCATCTTTTTCATATAATAAAATAATAAAATGTAGGTAGTCTCCAATATTTTATACAGAAGACTCGCTCCTCGTTAAAAATATCAAGACGACATGTGCTCCACTATGAGGGATGAAATGAAAGGAACTTATTTGAATAACATGAATATTATGAATACATAAAACATCTCTTGCCCTGACACACGAGACAGCCGTCTGCCTGTCGCACACGTTACAATAGGGAGCATATTTCAATAAACAGCTTTATAAATATCCTTACATTTCCCTCGAAATTAATATGTCATCAACGTGTTACGCGAATTTTACCTGAATTCCAAATTATGTAATGGATATTACGTTGAGCCACGTTCATGATTCCACGTTGTCGTAACGAAGTGATACGCTCTAGTTGAGAGATGAGCTCTCCAGGATTTAAAGCATAAGCACGAAAACCTCATTTCGTTAATCGTCCATTGAGCGTAATACGATTTTTTCTCTCCAGAGACCTAGTCAGTTGTGTCGCTAGTAAAGATATATAAGTATAGTACTTAGTGGAGTAAAGCGTGTATACTAGAGTAAATGAAATAGCTGGATATTTTCTAAGACTTCGATAATCTGTAGAAATTGTATAAATGTAATTGATTTTTAGTGTAAAATAGATTTTGTTTGTTACCTTCAACTCTTCTGTGTACTCGAACATGATGTCCTAATGGCACGACGACTGGCCCAGCTCTGGGGCACACCGACAGTAGCGAGGTGTCGTGCGACACCCTGCTCACCTCCATGACCCGGCACTCGACGGTTCGAGGCGAGGAGACGCGGCTAGCCGCCCCCAACGTCACCTCCCCACAACCCTTCCAAACACTCGGCTCCACTTTGAGTGCGGTGATCTACCAAAATAGACACCATTAACAGTCATGTTATTTTAATAAATGGAACACCTACACAATTTACTTGATTGCGGATACATTTTCCTTCTACTGATATATGTATTTAAGAATATTAACGCATACAAAACTAAATAAGTTAGGTAATGATGTCTGTAACTCACCTCTATTTTTCCACTCTCAGCGAACACACGCAGCTGTAGAGGTTCCTTTAATTTAGCTTCGGGCTTTATTTTAAGCGTCCTCAACCAGCCGTTGGTCGCAACTTCAATCAACAAAAAGCCTTCGGTAATCCGGGCACAGCCACCCGGGTTAGCCAGGTGCCCTGTGTACACGGATATCGTTAGTTTTGTTGATGTTTGAATCCAATCATGGCGGAGTGGTAGAGGTGAATCTGGACTCTTGTCAGTTTTTTTCACGGGACTTGAGGCTGCTCTGCGACTTATCGACATGGGTAAATCAGCGGACTGCACTAAGCTCTGCATGATCTTGCTAGGCGGACTTCCTTTAGAATTATCATCACCTTTAGTAATTTTCTTTCTAACCGGCGTTATGCAATTTGCTAAGTTCTCCATGGATTTTCTAACTAGTTCTTGCGCTTTAGACGGTTCTCTGAGCCGGTCGGATTTAGGCGACGGGTTTGAAGTGTCGAAGAGTTCGTCGGCATCAGGGAGATCGAATCTAAGCGGTCCTACGAGACATTTTGCGAGGAGAGAGTCGTAGTTGACCCAGGGGTGTACTTTGTCGAAGAGTTGTGTAGCGTCCATGCCGGCTCCTCGCATTAGTTCCTCGGGTCCTGGGATATAAATAGAACATAAGACGGTTTCTTAGATCAGGGTTCATATATTTGATGTTCGTTTCCGTTCACGGGATCACAGGATCCCGGACCTTTGGAAGGCGTACGAGGGGCCGAAGCCAACTCGCAGAGGCCCATTGAACAACTTTAATTTAAGTGAAATGGTACATCAGCCGGCAATTATCTCTGTATGCACTATGAAAGTGCACCCAAGGATAATCCCCGGTTGATGCAGGACTATTGCGAAATGTGGCAATAATTGGAAGGGTTATGGGTATGGGTTGCCATGGACTGGTGGATATGATAACTATGGAAATACTATATATTTGATTTTTATTACGTAGTAGCGATATCTTACCTCCAGGGTGGTACGGTAGATAATGCGTTATGTTGTAGACGCGGCCGCGTATCGCCAGCCAGGCATCGTCTGCAACATTCAGCTCGTGTAAAGAATTTATGAAGCATTTTATTGGAGCGTTGACTTTTATTTGCATATTGTATAACATTAGAGGGTAATCTTCTTTGGAAATATTCTGTATCCCCAAGCTCCATTGGGAATACGAGGTCTCTGTATCCTTTTTAGATGCTAATCTTTGAGTTTACTTAAATTGTGAATAAATAATGGATACTTTCCCGTATTACTTTGAGTTTCGTGTGGGGGTGAGTGTACCTTGTGGTTTATTTGCATTTCACAAACGAAGTGTTTTAAGTTAGTCGTTAGAAAGTAGTAAATTAGTAAAGTTTGCTAACTTGTTGTGTTGTGTGTGGAGAGTTCGGCGGGTGTGACAGGTCGTATTCTCCCGCCGACGCCCGTTAAATCCTTCCCGGAGTTGCCGAGTCGGATCCAATCCATCAAACTGTGCCCAGGCTGGAGAGCGCATTTGTTGCGGGGGTTGCCTGTAACAAGAATATTATGATGCAGATTCTAATTTTGGATACATTTTTAAATATGAAAGTTGATGTTTGAATGTTGTTTATAATTTAGCACACATATTGGTATGTCACGATCCGACTTACAAACAACATGGATGAGTAAAATGTTTTGCATCTCAATAATGTACTTAGTACCTTCTTGTTAAATGTAATCAGTATCAACTACATTTACACTACGAACTAAAATTCGTTTCGAATTAAATTGATCGTTCTTAGTAATATCTCTTCTCATTTTAAATTTCTGGAAAGAATTTAAAACATTTTAAGTATGTGAGACATTCTAGATTTGAAATTAATAATTGAATTTGAATATTACTTAGTATCTAAGTAATAAATTAAAATATTATGAAAATAAATTAAGTAGATACTCCAGTCACTATACAATTAATCATAGAGTGAGAACACAATTTTAAATTAGGTAAATTAGAAAACTTTTTTTTAATTACGCATTTTTCGTTGTACTTATTTGGTTTTATAAAAACTAAAGTAGGTACATGTCTGCGTAATTTGTAGATTTAGTTTTGGTTCAATAATGTGCCTTCTATCTTTGGGTTTAAGAAGTAGATAAGGTTGGATGGGTTGCAGATTGAGGATGCGAGCCGGCCCCGGCCCGGAGCAGGAGAAGAAACGGAGTGGTTTTTAGTCAGTAAGAAGTCATTCGATAACAATACTAAAACGAGACCCATCGTCTTTGCCTTACCCGGAAATAAACTCCGATAGATTTTGCTTGTCCACAATAATAATAAGACTTTCTTCATAAACGTTTAATTTATTTCAATATTCTATAAAGTAAGAAGTACTATATATTCTGGCTTCACATGTGTTTAAATAAAATATTACATGTACTCCAGATTCAGAGTACCGCTGCCACATAAATTCCTTTCTTGCTGTACCGAGATCCGTTTCAAGGGACTTACATTGGCTTATGGCTCTTTTACAGAAAAAATATAGCTATCGCATGGAGCTGACACAAGTAGTAAGAATCTAGGAAAAGAAAAGAAAATGTTTTTATGAAAAAAAAATAGAATACAGTTTTTGAAATTTAAATTAAGAATAGTGACTCAACCGTAATTAGAGTTAAATTCCCGAATGGTCTATGTTGTCTTTGGTGATCTGGAGGCGGGAAAGCACGTCGAAATGTTATTAATGATTTAGAAGTCTCGGGGATCTTTGATCATTCTGTCAGAGAAAGACAGGAAAGTTGACTAGTCTTGTAGCTAGACATATGACGTTAAAAACATATCTTTGGCACATTTTCTATTCCGGATTACATGACATTCCTAAAATCAAAATTTCAGTTAAGTCAAGATCCATGCACTTACTATTAAGTACCTACAAACCCATCTGTTTGTAGTCAACTTGGATACTGTTTAAATTGCAGACCCTAGATAAATTATGCACCCCTTTGATAACCAAATGACCAAGTTAATTAATCACTATTAGAATCAATACATCTATAGCCAAAGTCAAAGTCAAAAATCATTTATTTAAATTAGATCCTTACAGGCACTTTTGAACGTAAAACAAAATTTTGAAGATATAGTGTCAGTCTGTCGGTCAGTCCTCTTAGTGGACCTATTTGCTCGTGTTCCAAAGTGTAGATTCCCATGGAGAAGAACAAGCAAGAAACTCCATGGTTACTCTTTTTAAATCAGTTTCACATACAGATTCCTTATACATACAAACAGTTACAGTACAAACAGTCGGCACGAATGGGTCGGCTCAACCGGAGTGATACCACGGCCTCAATCAGAATACCGGCGTGAAACAACCACAACGTTGTGTTTCGCCGTGTGAGTGAGGTTACCGGACTGGCCCAAACCCGCCCCTTCCCCTATCCCTTCCCGATCCTTATATCCGCAACTCCTATCCCCAAAAGGCCGGCAAGGCACTCGTAACTCCTTTGGTGTTGCGGGTGTCCATGGGCGGCGCCGATTGCTTACCATCAGGTAATCCGTCTGCTCGGTTGCCGACTTATACCATAAAAAAAGTTGGTTCAATTATGTGAGAACAGTGTAACACTTATACTTATTCAGAGAAATATAAAAAGAAAATAAACCTCAGGACAATAGACAGTCCCGAGCTGACCAGTCCCAACTGACGGCGCTATACTAATCTATATCTTTACATATATTATAAAATGCGAAAGTAACTCTCGTCTGTTTGTCTTTTCTTCTCGCCTAAACTGCTGAACCGATTTCTGTGAAATTTTGGTACAGACATAGTTTAGAACTCGAAAAAGGACTTAGGATAGTTTTTATAACTAAAATCTGTAGGAAGTCACTATTCTACGCGAACGGAGTCGCGGGCAAGAGCTAGTACATAATAAAGTTTCCCGCCGTCTGTCAATATGTTTGCTTAGATCTATGAAATTACGTGGCAGATTTTGATGCGGTGCTTAATAGATAGACTGATGAGTTTGCTGGCGAAATCGCGGCCAGCAAACTGGTTATGAATAAAGTAAATTCTGAGAGCATAGCATCTTCTAATTTATTTTTGTGAGAGTGTTTCTGTGTAACTGACATACGACATATGAACACATGGTCTTACAAGGGATGCATGCATGTAGCACTTTAATCTTTTACTTGTAGTGTAGTGGAAACTGAATAATGAAATAGAAACATTTTTAGCCTCATATTAGGCTTTAGGATGGTTTTACAAAAATGAGTGTAAAGAAAACATTACATGGTTTTTTTTAAGTACATTTATTTAATAGAATGTGTTTGAAACTTGAATAACTAAAAGGAACAAAGACTTTTCCTTTCTCTAAATTAAATAAACTCACGTAGAATAGAAATAAATCTTGATTACGTTCGAAGGTAAGGCACAAACGAATTAACTTTCCAACCAAAGGTAGCATGTAGGTTTCAACGAACACTGCTAAAGTAAATGTAACTTTATCAATTCAATTGTTTTTTACGAAGTTACCTACTGTCTCGAGGTCGTTTTATTACGTAGAGAAAGTTGATTTTCCATTGACAAAACCAGAGCACTCAGTGAGGTAGCAGTTGATATTGTATGATTAATAGCGGGTGAATTAATTTTGGGTTGTGTACAGACAATGTAGACTACATGAATGACCTGCCTGTATATCGGCGTGTACTGTACAAACAAGTTTGTTGACAACAGCTCCAGCCTGGCGATCTAACACAAACAAATAGTGAGAACTAATATTTAGATGGAACAGCGCAAATTTCGCCGGGAGACAGATCAATAAATCAAAAGCCTGCAAAAGTTGCGGACCCTCAAAGTTGGAACCTTCCCTTTTTCTTCGCGATCAGGACGCCAATCAAATAACTTTCTTGCTCCTTAAGCTTCTAATTTTCCTTCAGTAATAATGGGTTGTGAATTTACGACGTTATTTTACATTAAATTTTAAGTAGTTAAGCTTGGTATTATGTTGTGGTATTTAGTAGCATTAGTGTTGGAAATTGCTTTAAGTAGTTATGTAATCCGATTTCGATGTGTAGGCACACATTGGTTAGGTAGATCAAACAATGTATGTACTCCCGAAATTATTCACGATAGCAATTAGTTACGTTGTTTACAAAGTACTGTATCTGTTTCTGAATATCGGTTTGACCGCGATTTTGTATATACATATAGGTATATGTTTGTGTCGATTATTTATTTGATTCATGAACCATTTCTAGGTATATACCTAATACTTGAAGATCTTTGCTTGACGGACCTATTAGCCAGTATGTCAGTAACCTTCGAGTCACTTATTAGATTAGTTTTAAGCCAACGACCTTTAGAAACAGACGTTATTCACAAAACGCTACTAATACTTAGAACTTTACTCAAGTATATGGACTTTGCACAGTCACAGCTGGTGTCCTCTCCTATTGGTATACAAAAATAGCTTTTATTACAAACAAAAAAAGTCTGTCAGGGTAATACCATTGACATGGGTGTGCCCGTATTAACGACTTACTTCGATCCCCAATACGTCTGTCAAGTGTGATTGAGGCAATATTCCCTGTGGTCGTTAATTCCCGTGATCAATGGGAGGCCCTTTTTCAGTATTGTACAATGGATACTTAGATACATTGAAATTTTAATCGAGATAGAGAGGAATTTAGGGATTTAAGACCTTATACTTTTGTCATAAGTATTTCTGTATACATTTTGCCATTGCCATTGGCCATTTTTGATTATTGTGCCTTTTCTTTTATGTCAGACTTTATACAGTCATAATATAGAATCAAAGAATGTCTTGAAACTTTGATCTGCGTATGAGATGTCTTTTAACATTACATGGTAGGATAGTGACAAAACCAATTCATAGTAAGTATAAAAGGCTTTATATAACAATAAATAAGTACCTTTAAGTTCTTCAGATATTTATAAAGGATCTAATTGATAAATTCAGTGTGAACGATATACCTAATATTTGTGCGGAGTACCGATATACACATACTGATACCGCTGTTATACATATTTCTTATCCGAAGCGCTGAAAATCACCCTCTACATACGGGAACAATGACCCACTGCTGACTGACAAACACTAAACACTATGCGAATGCACTTTCCCGTCGAATCTTTACAAAGTGCTCAAACAAGTCCACTTATGTATTAAACGTGTAACATGAGAGAGGTGGTATGTAATGGGTAGGACGCACTCTTCGGAATAGACTAGGAAAAAAAAAGTTTATAAGCGAATGTCGTTTTTTATGAGGGGATTTTCATTATCCCCCCTAAGTGGGGCAAGAGGGAGTACATCGGTACTCTTACTGACTAAAAACACCCTGTTCCTTGCCCTGCTCTGGGCCGAGGCCGCGGGACCTTATTGTGCTTGACTCGCAACTCCGACTGATTAAGAGAATGACTACCATCACAATTATCAACTGCAACGTATCTATGTATTGTGAACAAATGTATTTAATGATTATTTTACTTCATGCACAAAAACACCTACATAATATAACAATATATTTAATGCAATGAGTATTCTTTAT